GAAGAAGAGTCAGAGGCGTTATCACTTCCGCAACAACCGCCGGAGCAACAACATGGACGAGACAGCTGAAGCTAACCAGGAAAGCGGTGCCGCCAAGCTCCAAGAGCGGCTCCAGAAGCGGCACCAGGCGAGAATAGAGGACGCCGAGCGGAGGAAAGAGGCGAAGGAGAGCCAGTCTGTCGCCGAGGAGAAGGGCGAGTATTTCTCCAGCACCTTCAGCAGAGAGCGGGCGTCCATAGAGGAGCTGCTGTCCGGCTGCTCCGGAGCCGACCGGGCTGCGGTGACCCAGAAGCTGGAGGAGGCGACGGCTAAGACTGTGCAGCTGCAGAAGTTTCTCAACGACAGCATGCTGTTTCTGACCCAGTACGAGCTGAGACAGGCCCAGGCTGCTCTCCAGAAGCTCCAGACCTCCCTCACTGAGACCAGAGAGGAGGCTCTGCCCAAGAAGAAGTTCGCCTTCCGTGCTCGCACTAAAGCGACAGATAAAGCCTCTGCACCCGACCTACCTGCCCCTGATGCCGGCCCACCTTCAGAGCCAGGCAGCACCTTGGTGGATGGAGCCTCTGAGCAGTGTGGCTTCACCAACAGGACAGACGAGCGTCTGACCAAGACGGCCGAGGAGATCCAGAAACGAGACGTGCTTCTGACTCACCTCACGAACTGTCAGGTCCGTCTGTTGGGCTCGCCCAGCACGCTGCACCTGAAGCACATCGACGGCTGTGAGATCCTGTGCGGTCCGGTGTCCAGCTCGGTGTTCGTGGATCACTGCAGAAACAGCACGCTGGCCTTCCCCTGCCAGCAGCTGCGGACCCACAACACCAGCGACACTCGGGTGTACCTGCACGTCACCAGCCGGGCCATCATAGAGGACTGTCGGGGGGTGAGCTTCGCCCCGTTCTCCTGGTCTTACCCCACGCTGGAGGAGGACTTTGCCGTTTCTGGTCTGGACCGGGAAAGAAACAACTGGAGGGAGGTGGACGACTTCAACTGGCTCGCTGCAGGAACGCCTTCACCCAACTGGACTGTCATTCCTGAAGCAGACAGAAAAACAAGCTGGGACTCCTAGAATTTAACCTTTAAAGCCCTCGTTTGGCAAATGTACACGTTTACAGTCAAAGCATCAACTGATTTAAGCATGAATGCACACAGTTAATGTCCACGTTATGTCATGAATATGAAGCTGAAGCTGCACTAATCCGCCTGACTTCTGCACCAATCACACGTGGGCTGCAGTAGAGAACATTCTCCTAAATGCAAATGACAATTTCTTGCTTTCAGTGACACCAATCTGTTATTAATAAAGAACTGTTATTAAATGAATACAATGCAATATCCAAAAAAAAATTTTCAAAGCTCATGACCTCATTGTAACAGAAACACTCCACAGACTTAGAAAATCATCCTACAATATTCTACATTCATATACAGAGTTCTGGGTTTTATTTATTTTAGATTTTGTGCCTTGTGCTGCTGCTGCTGACCCTGAATGGCACCCGTCATGAGATGCAAATAAAGAATGTGGATGCTTTAACAGTCAGAAGGCTTTGTTTCTGCTATTTATGTTCTGTCAAATACACTCGGGCCACTCAGAAGACCGTGCAGATTCTCAGACTTTAATGTTTAACAAGACAAGACAAATTAATCATTCCCTCCTGCTTTTGCTTAAAGCCCCTCTATTATCATCTTTAAGCAGCATATAAATGAGTATAAACTGCTCATAATTCAGCATAAATATAGTAATTTCAATGTAATTTTAATTTCACAGCATCTAAAAACATTAATATACTGTAATGTAGTTCTGAGCAGATGTATTTTTCAACAGCTAAGCTCCTGGATGTGCCCATAAATTAGAGGCTAATATGTTTTATAAAAGGAATGTAGTGAAATCCAGCTTGAACAAAATACCTAAATTGGCCTCGTAGCTGGATATAACTGTATCATGTTTGAAGTAAATGAGATGAATATAGTATACAGTATACATAGCATACACATGCTAAATGAAGGGGCTTATAACGAAAATGGTTGGTGGCGCAGTTGCCTCGCAGCTAGAAGGTTTGTGTCCCAATGAGGACACCCAGGATCTGTCTACGTGTTCTCCCCGTGCAGCGTAGGTTCTCTCCGGGTTCTCCGCCTTTCTCCCACAAGTCCAAAAACATGTTGAGGTTAATTGGTGATTCTAAATTGTCCGTAGGTGTGAATGTGAGTGTGCTTGGTTGTCTGTCTCTAAGTGTAGCCCTGTGATAGGCTGGCGACCTGTCAGCTCTGACAGACTCTGCCCCCCGCGACCCTGGTGAGGATTAAGGTGTAGAGATAATGGAGGGATAACGAAAATGGACAATTTAAAAGGAGGCATAAGATGATCTAATGGCATTGATAAAAGAGGATTTACACTTGTACAGTTAAACAGTTGAGTTTAATTACCATTAGGGGGAAAAAAAGGAGGAAAGAAATGTTGGAATTTGGTCCTAAATTTACATCACAAGGCATCATAAGTGAGACACCTACATGAGAAACGTCACAACTTAGGCTGTCTCCAGAGAAGCTTGCTAAACAGATAACATTTGGTGATTTTGACACATTAATGTTACTCAAAAAACATTAAAAAACCATTAATGATAATACACATGGGGTGCTTGATGCAAGATGTAGTGAAAGAAAGAAATCAATATTCTAATGGCGTTTGGCAGAAAGCTACGCTGCAGCTCTCGTGTGCAGCTGCAGGCAGTGAGAATGCAGTTTAAGGATCTGTTTACGTCAAACACTGTGTTGACTGGAACCGGCGATATAGCAAGTGACGTTAAGTGCATTACTGAGAGTGCTGAAGTTTATTAGCTTGCAAGAGAAAGTTTTCTGCATCTTATGTCCGTGCCAATTAACCTCATGTTTGTTTGTCTCAGTTCTGTTCTTGGCCTCAGTATAAATAAATTCTTCCGATGTGTAGTTGTACTCTAGTGGTTCATAGACGAGCCTGGAAGCTTGATCGTTTGTTTCTGTCAATGGCTTTGTGGTGCTTCAGTAGCTCGGCCTATTTACTCCACAGTGAAGACACCTGAGCTTGAGCTTGTGGACCCCACACCTGTGAATGGGTACGCTCCGTGATTAGCTCCACTTTCATGTCTATTTTCTTTGTTGGGCCTCAGCTGATGCCACTCCTGGTGCGTTCCATCGAGGCGACCGTGACCACGTGAACACTCAAACCAATTATGGCCCCTGGCAGCAGCTTATGATCAGGCTCATCTTGTGTGGAGGGATTTCTGCAAATTGGATTCAGGCTGCTTACTGGGGCTTAGCATGACGTACTGCAACTTTGAGTTTAATCATGAGGATCCTCGGCAATCCTCCACCTCTCCGAGAGAGCGGAACATCACGACCGGCCTCACCTGTGCGGCAGGGAAGCAACACCGGTAAAAGTTTGGAGAAACAAAGCCCCGTGAACTTTCAAGTTTCTGGCACAATGGAAGAAGCTAAACCTTTGAAGAAATAAGACTCCTGCGCTACTCTGGGGTCTTCTTGAGTTCTTCATCTCTGCTGCTTTGCCGTGGGATGGATTACAGGCTGAGCTGACTCTCCTGTCCTGTTGGACCAGCCAGAGGAGACCTCAATAACAAAGCAGACAAGGAGACGGCTACTGCAGGTTGGCGTATTCAAGAATATCTGGACGTCTTGGAGCTGCTGAAGTTCTAGATCATCGTTTGACTCTCTTCTTCGTAGACAAAGGACACTCTACAGATTGAACAATGGCTTTGATGCTGGTCAAGTTTGATCTGAAAAAGCGAGTGAAGCTCGCTCAGTCGGTCTGGTTCATGTACTGGTTTGCGGTACTGGCCGGCGTGCTGGTCTTTAGCATGGGCCTGTTCTTCAAGATCGAGCTGCGAAAGCGCTCAGAACTTATGGACAACAACGAGAGCCACTTCTTGCCCAACCTGCTCATATTTATGGGTCTAATAGCTTGCGGCATCAACGCCTTCGGAGGCAAAGTCTGCTACGACTCTCTGGACCCGACCAAGTTTGCGAAGTGGAAGCCCATGTTGAAGGCCTTCCTGATGTTCTGCGTGGTGTTCAACGCCCTGCTGTTCGTCACCGCTCTGCTGTGCTTCCTGATGAGGATCCCCTTTCAGTTCACCCTGGCCGAGGGCCTGAGGAACGGCATGAAGTACTACAAGGACACGGACACGCCTGGACGCTGCTACATGAAGAGGACCCTGGACCTGATGCAGATGGAGTTTCGTTGCTGCGGAAACGACAACTACAGAGATTGGTTTGAGATCCAGTGGGTTAGCAACCGTTACCTGGACTTCAGCGCAAAGGAAGTCAGAGAGTAAGTTGGATTCAGATTCAACCTGTAAATGTTTGAGGACGTTAATGTGTGATGTGACAGTAAAATAGGTCCCCTCAGATTATGATTGATGTTAAGCTGGATGTTGCTGAGGCAGGGGGGCTTAAAAGGTTGTCTATGCAAAGTTAGAGTTCAGTATAAGTGGATTTGAGGTGAAGGTGGGTCACGGCAGGTGTATTATTCACTTTTGTCCACTAAGGATTACTGTCCCAAGAATTGTGGCAGCCACAGGTAGTATTGAGGACGTGACACTGGGGGCTGGGAGGGCGGAAGAGGTTACTAGGCAGTTTTATGGATAAAGTTAGGAGGAGGGGCTTTGGTGATTAGCAACAGGAAAAGTTCCAGTCGGAAAGGTGCGTTCAAAAGGGCACGAGCAGGATCAAACATATTGTTCCAGTTTAATGTTGATGTGACTTCTCTGTGTTACCTTGTGGATGCCTGCAGTGATTTTGATCAAATTTCCTCTGAACTTTGTGTAAACAATTGTGAAGCACTTAGTGTTTAATCTCCAGGATTACAGTGCCACGTCCTTGAAGAATCAGTGTCCTGTCCAATCAGCACAGGACCTGGCAACATACCAGGACCAGCACCGGCCAACTAGACCATTTCTAAGACATCAAACAAAAAACAACAGACTTCTAAACCAACACACTGATGATTTACTGTGTAATTGTTCAGTGTTCTCCAGCTTGGTGATGGATAAAAGTAGTTGTGATGAAACAACAGGCCTCTCTTTGTCTGTCAGACCCAACACATCATCATCATCATCATCAATACCAACTTTCTAAATGATTTGATTAGATTTCAAAACTTTCCAGTATGGTTCAGCCTGTTTGTTCTGTAGCTGAGTGCTATCTGGGGCATTATTTTGGGGCTCGATGTCTCCAGACATCACCGATGCACCTTTGACCTTTAGTTCTTCGTGATCCAATCACACGTGTCTTTCCATTGACCTACTACTATCAATCACAGTTGAGATCTGCTCTTTAAATTGAGCGCTGACCCAAATGAGCAAATTTGGGTTTTCCAGCTTACTGTAATTGTTTAGACTCTTGATCTGTGTCTAAGAGGAAAGAGAAAAGAGAAATGATCAATAATCAGAATCAATAATGCTTCTCAAACAGTACGATGTGAGGATGCATGTTTGATGACTGTCAGCGGTTTGTGTGAGCTTTGTGAGGATCATTGTGTTTGATTTATGCTTTTGAGATAAGAAAGCGTGGGGTTGTATTGGCTCGAATAGTCCTGGACCACCACTTACTAATGCCTTGAAAGATTTGCATTTTAGTAACAAGAAAATAAAATAAAACATCAGAAGTTTTGCTTATTTCTGGAAGAAAATTCTAACCTTGACTTGCTAATTATACGTCAAGTAATTTTAGTCCACTCACGCTACAAATATAGCCTTTGCACTTCCTGACCTTTAATCTCATCCCACCTTCAACCCGTCATAACGTGACTCTGACATGACACTCTGCCTCATCCTCTTAGCCGCATTGGGAGCAACGTGGACGGCCAGTATCTGATGGATGGAGTCCCGTTCAGCTGCTGTAACCCCAGCTCCCCCAGACCCTGCATCCAGCTCCAGATGACCAACAACACTGCCCACTACAGCTACGACCACTACACCGAGGAGCTCAACGTGTGGAAGCGCGGCTGCCGCGATGCCCTGCTGTCCTACTACGGAGGCATGATGAACACCATCGGAGCCCTGGTGTTACTGGTCATCATGCTGGAGGTCAGGACCGACCACAGAAGCACCGACATGAATATTCACGCAAAAATCACCTCACATGGTTTAATACCTGCACCCGCCACACTTGGGACAGCCCCATGGAGTGCGTGGGAGATATATCGAGCCTAAATCTCACATTTGAGCGTCCAAGTAGGTTTTCTAGTGCAGCATCTTGAAAGGCTGCAAACAGTAGGAGGTCCTTAAAGCCTCCTGAAGGCAAACTCCCCCGAAGTAGTGCTTGAAAGTTGGTTAAAAGTGTAGTTATAGCCTATTTAATGTGTCAAACAAGTGAGATTCATGATTGTCTCCAAGCAGGATTTGTTGTTTTTACAGAAGACAAAACTTCATGAACTGGTTGCAAATGTTTGGTTAACTTCTGATGCCTGTCCCTGAACTTTCCCACAGAAACCATCCGACAGCCTGAAACAGCCCTGGCATTTAGCAGCCACTATTCACAACATTACACTTAAAGAGGGGTCAGAAATGTATTAAAATGCAGATAGTTGTAAAAATCGATCTTCTTTAACGTCAAGTTTGCCGACATAAGTTGCTTTCTGGACCAAACTAGCTGTGATGTCATGAAATCATGACATGGAGCCACATCTCAAACTCAGATTTCAGGTATCGACAGAGAACGCTTCATCCTTCAGCAAATAAAATGCCACACATTAATCAGTCATCCAAATGAAGTGACAGCCGATGATCATTGCAGTTGTTGGGTCTTTAATTATGGAGGGAGGGCTTTGCAACATGTCTGAAAGTCGGGTGAGGGTTCTGATGGCCTAATTATAAGAAGTCAGGTGTATAAACGTGCAAAGCGTTGACCCAGTTGGCGTTTCTGCCATGTTCCTCTTGTCTTCCCTCCTTCCAGCAATCCACCCCCGCATTTAGCAATATCCACTTACTGCATCTCCTTCCCAAACAGCTCGATCCTCTTTACCTAAACATCGTGCCTCCTGGCCTACTGCTGGGTTACCTGGCACCACCTTTGGCACGTACGGGTGTGCGGCTTACCTTTATCTCACCTGCTACTTTCTACCCAAAGGGTAATCCCGAAGCAGCCACATGGCGCCGTTTTTCTCCTCAACTCTCTCCTCAGCGAGAACATCTGCTGTTGTTGTTGTTGTTGTAAAGTATTTGCTTGCTATCACACAGACCAGACAAACAGATAAACCCTTAACGTCAGTGACGGTAAATAGAGCGATTCGGATAACACCTCCGTCCCAGCAGACAAACCCTTGTTCTGAAAACATGGATTGAGGCGATACATGGAAGCAGATCAGACGCCCAGTCGGGGGAATCTCAGATTTAAGAGGAGTTATGCAAGCGTCTCTATGCTGACACATATAGTGGGCTCAAAGATGGAGTAATGGGTTAATCTACGGGAGGTGACGAGGACAGACCCAATTCCTGGAGCCTGATCCTCTCATGTCACGTCTCCATTTACAGCAACTGATTTCTTCACTTTTTAAAGAAGAGATTAGACCTTTAGGCTGGAAATTTCTTAGACATTTTGGCACAGCATATGCCTCCAGTAGCACCGTCACATACACAATGCAGTTAAAATGAGTTTCAGACAAGCACAGAAACATATTCAAACAGATTGTCTCATGTCTATCATGTCTTTGTCACATTGCACTAATGAGAAAAGAAGAAAAAAGCTATTGAAAGATATTCAGAATCGGGCTGCAACTAACAGTTATTTTAATTATTGATGAATTAGTCAATTAATTTCTCCATTTTTCAATTTAAAGGCTCAAAGATATTTAATTTTCCAGCAGCTACGTCTCACGCTGACAAACCGGACCCATAAAATGTTCAACATTTCGCTTGATTAATTCAATTAATCAATTAATCTGCAAAATTATTGCAATTACTGCAACTCTAATTCAAAACATCCATCACTTGTAATGATGATAATCTACATTTTTATCTACTTGGCCTTTACGGATCTTAATAATCCTTAACTCACAAAAGCATGTGATGAATTTTAATGGTGAGTTCTTTCATGTTAAGTTATTTCTCCGCCGCTCTCATGGCATTTGAGGCTCGGCTAATTCATTATGTTGTCCCACGACGGCGTCAGAAATTAATAATTTAGCAGGCCCTGGAGCTATGTTCTTCTACTTTCTATGAGGCGTGGGCACAAACAAATCGTATTTCTCACGAGGGAGCTTCGTCTGATACGCTCTTCCTGTCCCTTCGCAGATTGCCGTGACCATCGGCATGCAGTACGTCAACAGCTCCCTGTCCACCCTGGCCAACCCCGAGGACCCCGAGAGCGAGAGCGAGGGCTGGATCCTGGAGAAGACCGTGAAGGAGACGTTCACCGACATCATGGACAAAATGAAGGCCATGGGCAAAGGGGGCAAGGTGGAGGAGGGGGCCGAGGCAGGGGTGGCGACGGTGAGCTGAGCTGAACCCCACCTGCAAAAACTGACACCGCTCCCAGCTCGCGAGGAGAGAAAAAAAAAGGGGGACGTGCGAGAGTTCTACATTTTTCTACCAACCTTTATTTTGTAGACCTACTCATATGTTTGAACTCCTTTTAAATGGACTCATTACGAATGGACTCCTTGAATCAATAATCCTGCATATTCATACATAGAGAGATAATGAGTAGCATGAGTCACGCTTTTTAATTCCCCCTCTAATCCATCCCAAGCTCCAGTGTTGCTTCACAGCATATTTTTAAAGATATTTACTGTTTCTGACGCTCAGTGGATTTGGATCATTTCTTTTTCCCTCCCAAAAAGTGAAAAATTCTAAGTGAAGTCAATGTGCTCTGTATTGATAAATGTCATATATTTTGCAATCACAAGTAAGTGCGTAAGTTGTCCTTTGTATTGGTGTCACATAGTTTGGCGGGGATGGTGGTTGCTATGCAACCCCCCCTCTCACGGAAGCCTAAGGTGCAGATGGAGGATATTTACCACCCAGGAGACAGTGTTTTACTCTTCTGACCTGTCTATAGCGCTCTGGCTCGTAGCTGATACTGTATATAGACAAAGCAAACAAATTAAAGCTCCCCAACTCAGCTCTTTTTATACTTCAGTCCACCTTTGAAGACTGGTTAAGCTCCTGAGATGGAGTAAAAATCTGAATTGAATGAATCAGCATGAATTATGCATGAATGTTGCGGCACATGGTTGAAGAGTGATTCATGGGAATCAGGAGGTGCGCCTCACAGAGAAGCACGGGGCAACTCCAAATCTGTGGAGGACGGCAGATATTGGCAGCTAAATCTTGGCTCCTGACCCTTGTACTGTAATCTGAAATCCTCTTTGGTGTTTCCCCTGTGCATTCAGTATCTGTTTCTTGACACGTATGTATGTATATTCTAACAGCTGGGTCTTTGTACATAGTGTAGAAACAACGACAACAAAATTTAACTTTTTTAATATAATGTAACTAAGCTAAATCTTTTATTTAAATCCATGTAAAGCTTTTTTTTTTTTTTCCAAATGGTTTTTTTTGGGGATTGTGTGTCTGTGTAGAAAAGAAATTATGCTGGTTGTATACATGAATAAAGGCTTTTAGAGATGTGATCCAACCGTGAAACAGTGGCGTTGTGTTGTCTCGACCTTGAGTCGCACAAACCAGAGATCAAGAGGCGAGGCATGCTGAGGAGTTCCTGATTAACTCAATAGGATAAGGGCAATTATGGCATTACTGCTTTCACATGGGCATGGGATGACTCTTCACATGTCCGATGTAAGGACGTGTGAGTGTGAAAGACGGCCGCGTTAACACCAGATGCATTCACTAGCAGCACAATGCATGCACGTGTATTTGTAAATAACTTTTCTGAGTAAACTCCACTCTGGAGTTTTATTGGTTTCATGCATTTTTGTGCCTTAGAGCGAGCTTTGACTTCTGAGGATGCACGTAACAAACCCTTTCATCCCTTCAGCCCATATTATATTGATAAATAACAACCAGTCAGGTTCGCTTTATCCGTCCTCCTGGAACACAATCCACTAATAACACGTGCATCTCCACTGAGATCCCCACATTCTGCAAACAGCAGCCATGAGGCATGAGGAGCCAAGATATCAAAGCCAGCGTGGCTTAGCAATAGCAGGAAAAGCAAAGAGGCCAACGCCGCGCGGTATTTTCGTTGGACCAAAGCACATAACCAGAGCTGAGTAGATAAGAAGCCTAATCGGCTTTAGATTAGCATGAGCCCCTCAACCAGGTGAGCAGGTGATGTCCTGCAGCAGGATTCACGTCATGGAGACGCAGCCGCTGGGAGACAAACAAGAGAAAGTGAAGATCAGAGCAGAATGAGAGTAAAATGAGGAGATTCAAACACAGAGGAAAATGTGCATAAATGGTTGTGGATAAAGCATTTAGATGCTTTACTGGATAAAAAGGGATGGGTTGTGATTACAACAAAAAGTTCTGCATCAAAACTAAAAGCTGTGAACTCAAGAAAAAGCATTAATTATGCTTATGATGTCACTTTAATACTTATAATATCTGAGAATCATTACTGATGATTTAACAAGTAAACAACATTTTAAAATTGGAGCTATTTAAGAAGGAACAAATTCTAACTTTTTTATTTTATACATCAATATTTTTATATATACATTAGTAGTAATCGTACTATTTGATCTGGAGCAATGCTTTACATTTTTAAAGTGGACAGAGGTTGTCATAAATTAAGCATTTTCAGTGTTAGAAGAACTATTCAGACATTAAAAAGTAGTAAAAATACTCAATTACAAGTATTTAAAAGTCAATAAAACAGATTATATGTTTTGTTTTTTAAAAATTGCAGCATGAAAATGAGCTGTAAGTGTGAAAAATACATTTAAAGGAGGATAAATACAAAGTAGATTGAATATAGTGATGTTCAAGTAAAGCAGAAGTGCTTCAAATTTGTATTTAAGTTTAGGTCTTGAGTGAATATGAGTGTCCACAGCTGGTTTTGTTGTCAGTTTGGCTGCTGGTGGTTGTAGTTTCCTTTAAATATCACTTGTCACTAAACAGCCTCTCCGTCGGCTCTACTTTCCTTTCATTGCATTTGCAGAAATATGTGATTAACCAAATAACGCTGAAGCACAGCAGGAAGCCTGTCCTCATTCCTTCAGAGCAAACTTCTAAACTTAAGACAGAAAAGTGAGCTGCGACAGCGTCGAGCGTGTCGTCCGTCGGTGTTCTGCTGCTCTCTGTTGGTGGCTGCAGGTAACAAACTGAGACCAAAACCCACCCTGTTTGGATTTAATTCATTAAAACAAAACCCCACAGTAATCCCATATCAGGTTAGTTTGTTCAGCTGACTCAGTCTCTCCTCCGTAAGCGTATAGGCTGTAACGCCGCCAACTCTCCAGCTGTGTTTCCAGCTTTCACAGTATACCTCTTTAACTGTAATTTATTTTGACTGTAAATGTCTTCCAGATGTGCTCTGCGGTGAATCCGGTGGTTTGGATCAATTATATGTTAAGTAGACCGTGGACCTGCTCTTGCACAGCTTCAGTTGCGCGAAAAGTCCACAAGGTGGCGTCTTTCCATCAGCGGTAGCGTCTCGGGAGTGGCCTTCACAGAGCTGGAAAACTTTAAGGGAAAGAAAACGTATGACTTTGACCTGATTCAAGTAAAAATAATGACCTCCCTTCAAGATAAAGATGTTGATACACAAATAAAATCCATTTTATCCGTTTGACTTGAAACACTTTGAGCAGCAGAATCCTCCCCGCAGACATTCTGGAGACTAAACTAAATGATTAAAACTAGAAATAATCAGTATTTTCACCAACAGCTGCTCTCTTGATTGCTTTTCTGACTAAAAAAGACTCCGTTTGGTTGTTTTGTGTGACCGACAGCCCCAAACATTGTGATATTTGGGCATTATTTTTCTAGCTGTCAGCCCACAGAGGGAAGAAATGTCACTAAACGTGGCCACAAAACACAACCACTAGAGCCGCGATTGGCTAAAACGCTTCATTATTGTCAGAACAGCAGCTAGAAATCGACCTATTTAGTCTATGAGATGATAGAAAGCAGCCAGAAGTGAGCAGCGTTCATTTTCACTTACTGTCAGAAAACATTACAAAACCAAAAGTGCATTCCAGCTGCTGAGAATCCCAGATAACATCTGGAGATGGCCAAACTGACAAAAAACAGAGGAGCAGTAAACCTTCACTTTGGAGACGCTGAAACCGCAGAAAAGTCCTGATTTCTGCCTTTAAATAATTAATAAATAATGAATTCTGATGAAAACAGCTGATGATTAGTTTGTTGTTGGTCAGCTAAGAGCCCAGAGCGACACAATCAGATTATTAGTTTTATAGAAACGACTCTCCAACATATTCTGTGATAAAGAAGATCAAACTGACGAGCTGGATTCGCTGAATGTTGGATTTCTTTGCTTGACAAACAGCTTAAATCAATCAATTATTAAAGCGGTTGTTTTTGAAGCTGTGATCATGCAGGAGATTGATGTGTGTGTGTATATTTGTTAAAGAGAGCAGAATGTGACCAACAAACTGATGCGGAGCTTCAATTATGCATCAGGGAGCGGCTCCTGATGAATATGCACATCGATTCGGGTTGTTTTAATTAATAATTTAGAGCGCTAATGAACGTGCGGGGTCCTCCGCGGCGACGCGACGCGTTTCTAATATTAAACCTGCCTGACCTTGAAAAGGGTCGGAGCCAAAGGTCAGGGACGCCGGGCGATCACATCTCACTTTACACTTCACTATGGGGCTGAATAAATATGGCAGACAGAAAGAAAAGCAGCAGAGCCAGAGGCAGGCGGAGAGGGAGGCCCGTGACTGGTAGATGTGTGGCCTGCTCAGAGGGGCATTGTTGGAGCTATGAGAGGACAATGCACTGCCCCCGCCCTGAATACTCGCCATACCAGCTGACCAGCCATTACCAACACCGCCGTCCCGTTACAATCCCTGCTGCTCCGACACACACACACACACACACACACACACATATGCACACACACAATCATAACTTTTCAGTCTTACAAGGCAAAAACTTTGTACACAACAGCAGACGGAGGAGTGAAGCCAGGTGGGAGGCCGGAGCAGAGCCTGACAAAAAAGGCTTAAGCCGAGGCATGCATGGGCACACATATTGTCTCGCCTCTGACTCTGTGACTCTGTGTGTGTGTGTGTTTGTGCACATGTGTGTGATTTACAGCGAGTTAAGTTTAGACCCTCGCACCTATCTGTTCCCTCTGCAATAACATTTCTCCTTCTCCCCGAGCGGCAGCGAGCCACCCAGACGGAACAAACGCAGGCCCTTCTCACCGTCGTATTGTTTCAGGACTCCTCAGCAAAGGTCCTCAAAGTGGAGGGTGTGAACGTGGGAGAAGGATTCAAATCAGCTGCTGGAGTTTTAAAAAAAAAAGAAAAGAAAAAATGCTGCAGTTAAAATGGCTGCAGTCGAATTCACACTCGAGAAAAAGTTGATCAGCAAAAAGCCGCAAAAGTCCTGTAATGTTGCATCATCTTCACTGATTCATCAGAATGAATAATGAACGAGCTGCTTTGGTGCTTGTTTAAGTGTTTGCTCTTCTATAGCAGAGCATCATTTATCCTAAACTGATCAATTAATCAGGTGAATTAATTGCCAATAATTTTGATGAGCATAAAAAAAACACTATTCTCAGATTGCAGCTTTTCAAATATGAGCATTTTCTGCTTTTCTCTGTTATTTATTATTAGAAATAAGTTCAAATTGAGTTCATTTATTCGACTGTACGGTTCATATGCAGCTGATGTGCTAAATGCTGCTTCATAGCATGTTTCTGCTCCACTTTTTTATCATCTACCAGCTGCAGTTTCTTTCTATATTTAGATTTTACACCTTAAAAAAAACACATGAAACGTTTAACATGAAGGCGACACTCTTCTCTCAACACCTTTAACTTCTAATTTTTGTGTTTATGAATTCAGTAAACTAGTTCTGGTTCTGCTGCAGGAGGCACAACGACGCTTCCTCGCAGATTTTCCAGAATACGAAAGCAAAAACTGAAGAATTTACAGACGACAATTGTGCAAATATTTCACATTTCAACACAACTGTTCCTCGTCAGAGTCCCAGTGTGTTTCCTAATCAAAGTTGCTCAATCAGTTAAACTTTCAAACACATTAATCGTCTCACATCCTCGTTCTCTGACACGGAATTAATTGAACTGAAATGCTGTTTACACGTTGTTGTGAGTATTAATAAATGAACTAATGACGCGTTTAATCGTTTTTCAGTCAGAAGGAGCATTTACAACAGATAGAGTAACTTGATTTTTCATATTTTAAAGCTGATTTGCTGATTTCTGTGCGTCGTGGTGAAATCAGCTCCTCTGGGAAGTTAGATTTCCCCTAAAAATAGACATTTTTTTAAAGCAAGATGTTCAGTTGTGTCCGATAAACGAGCTCCAGTACTTCTGTTCTGCACCTTTACTCTCTTTTAACTGTACACTTTATCTTTTAGTACTGATGATGAAATAATGGCACGGCTGATCGTTTATCAGCTGGTGTCTGGCTAAAAAAGAACTTTAACTTTCTTTATATTTTAAGACAAATTAAATGATTTCTGTGTTTCACTGCAACCAGCTTCTCCTGCAAATGTAGACGTTGCTGTTAAAAGTAAACTTTCAAAAGTAAAGTTGTTCTTTTAACTACTTTTAATTGGTCAGTTTTATCTGAAAAAGTTTGATCCAGAACTTTTATTCTGCATTATTTTTTAAACTTTATGTTTTGTGTGCTTATTTTTTTCACTTTATTCAACTTGTCTGTGCTATTTTTTTTATTTAATTGAACTGAATTAAATTGATTTCACTGTTTATGTTTTCTAACCTTTATTTATTTTCATTTTTTTACCTTTACTTCCTTTTTCTAGTTTTTTTTAATTAGTTTAATTTATTTTGTTAAAAAAATGCACTTCATTCAACTTGACTTTACTTTTTTTAATAAAATTAATTTAATGTATTACTTATTATTATCTGTCGTATCTTATTTTTTAACCTTTATCTTGTGTGTGTTTTTATTTTTCTCATCTTTTCTGTTTTTCTGCTGTTTTATTCGTACAATTGATCTTATTTATGTGTACTCGGCTGTATTTTATCTCCTTTTACCTCAATTTTTTTGTATGTTTGAATCAGTTTTATTTAATCAGATTCAATTATTTTGTAAAAATCAACAAATAAACGTCTGCACTTCATTCAGCTTCACAACTTTTTTTTATTTTTTACAGAATTAATTTGCATTTTGTTCCTTTCACCTCTACTTTTTATACACTTACATGTTTCTTATCTCCTGTCTTTTCCTGCTGTTTGATTCGTTTAACTGAATTTATCCGGCTGTATTTTTGTGTTTTTTATCTTCTTCACCTTTGCACTTTGAGTCACCTCGCTGCTGTATAAATAAACCGGCTCGCTCTCTGTCATCAACGGTGCACCTTTGCATAGTTTTTACTGCTACTACAGTCCATCCACTGCAGCCATGGTAACTGTATAGTAGTACACAGGAGTCATATCTGCTGGTGAACCTCACAAGAGCAGCTCTGGAGGTCACCTGCGCGCGCGCACGACGGTGACGGACAGTGACTGTTGCAGAACAGGTGTGCATACCTACGCAGAGCATTGTTGTACTCAGTGTGTGTCTGTTTATGTGTGTGTGTGTGTGCGCGGGGCGGGGGCACAGAGGGGCTGCTGAGGCGACGTGCACGAGCCCTCGCCCTCCCCTTTCCCCTCTTCCCCTCCCCGGTGGCGGCGACGCGCTGCGCACTCCCGCCAGCCCACTCGTGCAGCCGCCGTACAGTAATCATATGATAGGGAGCCGAGCCCCGCTGCAGAATACCGACACACCGGGCGGACACAGGCGGAGGAGTCGCGGCGGAGGAGACCAGTTGATGGTAGAGCCGTAGAAGAAGAAGAAGAAGAAGAGGAAGAAGAAGAAGAAGTACGCGGAGAAGAGAAGAAGAGAGAAAAAAAAAAAAAAAAAGGTCGGTGGTCAAAGTGCCAAAAACACAAACCTCAGCTTCCCCCGAACAGGAACTTTTCCAAACTCCGGAGAGAGAATTTCAGGGGGGACCGATAAGAGAGGACTCCGACGGGCAGCGACCCACCCCGGGCTGAGAGTTGAGTTTCCTCCGCTAGTTTGACGCGGGGCGGCCGGTGGAGCCCCCTCCCCCTGGGAACGACGCTTTTTTTTTCGGGGAGTTGTTTTTTTTTTTTTTTTTAAATTTAATTTTTTAAATTTTTTTTAACAACCAACCACCCACCCCCCCCTCCATCCCCATCCCCCTTGTAAAGTTCCTCCACCGCCACTCAGCTACTTCACAACTGCAGCCATGGTCGGGGAGACTGAGGTGAAGGAGCGACCCAAGTCCAACCCGGACTATCTGATGCAGCTGATGAACGACAGGAAGGTGATGAGCTCTCTGCCCAACTTCAGCGGCATCTTCACGCATCTGGAGCGGCTGCTGGATGAAGGTGAGTCCAGCAGCTTCCAGCCACAGACATGTCTTGTTTTATTTCTCATGTTTAAATGTGTGTTCACTGAGCTGATGGTTCCTTCAAACCTTGCATGTGTGGCCTTTTTTTTTTTTTTTTTTAACCCCCACTGTCTCACTCACACAGACCCCCTCGTAGTGGTGGTTGATGGGAACAAACAGACAGTTGTTAGTCTCTCCCAGTGACCTAATGCGCAGGCCTGTGTGAATGCTGCTGCCCATCCCTGAGCAGGAACGACACCATGTCCCTGTGTGAGATGTCTGACCGGAGGGGCGGCTGCACACAGGGCCCCCCCTCCACCCAGGAGACGCCTCCATCGATGCACTTGTTGATACTCCTGCAGACTTGAGTCGTGTGTTGTCGCACATCAGGATCAGAGGGGTTTGCTGGGTGTCAGACGACCTCCACGGCCTCCTGGTTCACAGTGACAGCTGAGCGCACTCAGCCACACGTGATAATGTGACACCCAGGGTTTTGCATTGTGCCCATTTTCAGCCCGGCCGTGTCTCCTGAAGGCACCCAGGAGGCCTGACGTCTCCAAAAAAGTTTGTGCAAGGTGTTGTCAGGCGGCGTGTTTGTTGCAGGTCTGGTCCGGTCTATATATAACCCCCATGACAGGTTCAAGTGTTATGATAAGGTCTGCTACAGCCTCTCTCTACCCTCCACCACCTCCTCCACTCTTTATCCTTCTCTCCTCTTGTTCTTCTTTCACTTCCCCCTCGGGCTGGTTTTAACTCGAGTGTGACAAAAGCTACGCAGATTTGTTTGTGCGTTTTAATGGTCGCTGTGTGCCGTGCAGCGGGTCAGAGGAGGTTATTAGAGGATCATCGTTGTCACCGTAGCGCTGGCTGTAATTATAGAGTCCTACTGTAGTTATTATGGTCAGACTTATCACGCTCAGAGCAGGGAGACATGCCTGTCAGCTTGCTTAGGTCAGATGATATTTGCGCCTCAAGGCAGTTATTCTGCTGGCGTGTGTGTGTGTGTGTGTGTGTGTGGGTGTGTGTGTCTGGTGCAGTAGTCGGTTATTATTGTGCTAGTGTGTCATTACAAAGGCATCAGAGGCTAGCATTGGTCATTGAGACAACCCCAAACAAACACACAGGCAGACAAACATGGTCTCATTCTGTGACGGCGCCTCTGGACCAAACTTCAGCCATAAATCTGAGCTTTTCAGCAGCTGATCTTCATGCTGAAATGTTCTTCTTTTTAAAACCCCAAACAGAATATATCATTAGAATCTCAAAGACTACAACAGCATAAACTTTTGGAGGGTTTTTTGTAATTTTCAAAGTAAAAAATCCCCAAAAATCTAATGTGAGGATCGTCTGTTTGCTATGATTCAAGCTGAACATCTTTTGGGGTGTAAACAAGAAACCCTTTAACAGATGTTTTTGGCAAACAGTCGAGGAAACGGTCTGCGGATTAATATTGAAAATAGCCACTTTCTGAGAAGTTCGACGGCTTTTCTGCGTAGCTGCCTAACAGCCGTTCTGCACTAGAACTTCATAAACACCGCCGAGTCGGTCACTGTGACCCCGACTAACGTGGTGTGGGCTTTTTTTTCTTTTCTTTCCCCTCGCTCTCATTATTTACAGAGTGAAAGGAGGAGTGGTCTCTGTGTGTGTGCTGGTGTTAAACGAGATGAAATAGAAGGGGGGGGAAATTGTCAGTAATAGAGGAGGGCTGATTGCAAAGCATTCAGCGGTTAGATTCTACATTGTGGTGCAGAATGCTTGCGACTGTCTCCCTGTCCGCCTGTCTGTCCGTCCGCCTGTCTGTCCGTCAGCTGTCACACTCAGAGCTTCCTTTAATTCCGGTGACAGTGAGTCATCGTCCTAAGAAACAAGACAGTCTGAAGAAAGAAAGAAATGTGAAACTCGCTGTCTCCCACCGCCGTCGATGTTTTCATTGTCGTCTTGGGTTCACTTCGCCCCAACTCTCATCTCCCCTTGTTTCTTCCTGTTGTCTCCCAAGAAATTGGCCGGGTACGCAAAGACATGTACAACGACACGCTGAACGGCGGCATGTTCAACGGCCGGGACATGGAGGAGCTTCCCGAGGCCATCGGCCCCGTGGCTCAGCTGCAGGAGAAGCTCTACGTGCCTGTCAAAGAGTACCCCGACGTGAGTGGACACATCGGTGACCTTCGGCCTTCTTGCCTGTTTACTTTCCTCTGTTGCCGCTTTATCTCTTCTCAGTTACAGAAGAACGGCCAGAAAGTCAGCGTGCCTCTTACTGACAGGGACATTCTGCTTTTATCTGAAAGCTGATTTCACTCTGAGATCATCTTAGCTCACACCCTGTGATGTAACCTGGACTTAAAATAGATCAATTATGAGCCACGGTCAGTTTTTGCAATATATTGTGGTTAGATTCCCAATATTACAAGTTTTATTTACTCAAAACGGGCAATATTGGGATGTAAATTCCCCCCACAGTGACACAGTTTTCAGCCGCAGGTTTACACCATAAATATTTATAAGAGCTTAAGAAGGTGGATTAAGTTTTCTCCCCAAAATATAAAGACAAGTGCACTGCAGTGAAGAGACTTTACCATCCAGCACATCCCCGCTCGCGCCAAGTACAGCTAAGCACTTCAATATGAGTTGCGTTGATCCAGATTGAACGGCTCACATGATTTTCTCCGCGCATCAGCTCGCCAATTACCAAATACAATGACAGGCTGTCCTCACTCACATGACAGGAGAGCTAACAGGGCGCGCACACACACACACACGGGAACGCATCGGAAAACGGTTGAGATCAAGGTTAAATTTAGAGAGCAGCTCCTTTATCTGGATTTGTGTGTCGGCGAGAGTCGAGGGCCGTCCTAGAGGTCGGAATGCGTCGAACTCAGAGGAAACTCGAGTGGACGAGTGACGAGAGGGGGGGAATCGGCTGGACGATTGTTACGAGAGACAAGAGGAACGGTGGCAGAAGAAAGCGCACACAGAGGAGCGGGGCAGCTGTCTAGTTAATCACTCAGCCTCAGTGACAGATAAGGTTAAGAGAACTGTCCTGTCATGCCACCAGCACCAGCCAGCACCCACATAATGAGCTATTTCTGTCTCTCTTAGTAACACAAACACATCACAGACGCACAAACCTCAAAGGCACGCTCGCTCGTACCTCGTACAAATGCCTACACGTTGTAAAAACACACATCGGGCCTGTGATGATGTCGGTTTTTGGTTCTGTTTGTCTTTTAATCAGCGCGTTTTGCTCCTTCGTGCAGTTCAACTTTGTAGGGAGGATCCTGGGCCCACGCGGGCTGACGGCCAAACAACTGGAGGCAGAAACCGGCTGCAAGATCATGGTGCGAGGAAAGGGCTCCATGAGAGACAAGAAGAAGGTAAACGCACTTGTGTTTTTCTAATTAGTCTGTCATTAGTCCCAGCACAGTTTCTGGATGTTAACATTTAGATAATGAGTGAGGTATGAGGGGAAACAGCTTCGATGGCTTCGTCCAAAACTCCCAGCACTCCTTCTCCTTTACACATCTTGTTTTTGGGTTTTAGCAAATGAGATTTAGAGGTTCTGGTCGGCTTATTTAGCAGTTAAAAGGTTCAGAATCTGCTCCCTTAACAAACAAAAACTGCACTGATGTAAAGTTGGCCACCATTATCTTCACCCTGTGCAGCGCCGCTCTGCTCCCAGCGCTCCTGCCACACTTTTAAAGCTACTCGAGAGTCCTGCTCTGTGTCAAAACCTGCCATCCTTCAACTTGAATTTCATTTTGCAGAAGAGGAAAAAGTCGCAGCGAGCTAAATCTGGAGCGAGTTAGGAGCGAGACTGTGTTTCCATTCAGCACCCAGCTACGATCGCGTCACAGTTCAGCTCATTTGATCGAATATTCTCCCTCATTCACTTCAGGATGTTACAGTAGGACCGGATTCCAGGTTCACAACCGTGTTAAAGTCGAATAAATAGGATGAGCATGATCTTGGTCACACAGCCGAACTGATGCAGCTTCCTCATTCCTGTTGTTAGTTATTCTCCTCCTCGTTCCAAGCTGCTGACTGAGATCTACTCAGATCCACCGTATTGGTCTCAGCAGGAGCAGAATCTAAACTTTCTGATGGCCTGTAGCTCAGCCAGATAGCTTCCCTCTCTGTCCAGTCTTTAGCTGAGCTAAGCTAGCCTCTCGCTGCCTGTGACTTCCCATTTTCTGGACGGACATGACGAGGGTACCAATCTTTTCATGTGATTCTGTTTGAATAGCTTTTCACAGATTTCCTTCAGGTCTTTCTTTTTTTTTCTCCTCGCTTTGCCTAACAGCTACTGTACGCAGCCAAAATCTGACAATCAACTTTGGCTGAGACGGGTCATTATTGTCGTGTTTTTTAGCATTTACTGCTCAGCAACAGCAAAAAACTGACAAAAATAACAGAAAACACGACGGCGGGACGGGTTTGAGAGCACTTTGGCAGCTTTGACGTGAGTGGAATCTAATATTTGCCTGCAAGCTGAGAAGGACACACTGAGAGGTTTTAAAGTAACTGCGATTACAAAAATATTCAGCAGTGACGACGCGTACCTGTGATTTGTAGAAGCAAAAAAAAAACACGTTTCAGCTCCAAGTCTTTCCGACACCAAGAACACTTTGCAAACTCAAAGTATAAATCAAACAGAAGCAAGAAACAGACGACCAAACAAACAGCGCTAATGTCTCCTACAGGTGGAGGTTTATTTATGTGCCGGTCACCAAACATCAGAGAGCAGAGCTGCAACAATAGCGTTTACCTCCCTGTTGCTTCCACAGAACCTGGGATTTTGTTTTTTTTGAAGCTACGTCCCTGTTTATGTAGGTTATAGTAACACATTGTAGTTATTTATAATCTTTTATATGTTTGCACATTTCTTACTGGACACAAAAGACAGTTGTGTGTGGCTTAGTTTTTATTGTATACCGCCTCGTGTAATTCTACTTTATTCTGCAGCTTTTTTGATAACTGCATACAAATTATAGTTAAAAAACACATCTATCTATCTATCCATCTATCTATCTATCTATCTATCTATCTATCTATCTATCTATCTATCTATCTATCTATCTATCTATCCTTCCTTCCCTCACAATGAGTTTTTGGGGCCCAGTTTTTCTTTCCTGTCCTGGTGTTCCGTCCATCTGTCCTCCCTTCCTCTCCCCTGGTGTCTGCTGTTGGACGGAGTCGGCTCAAGCTTTCCAAACGGCAGGTGGAGCAAGTCCAGCATTCCTCCCCCCCTCCGCCTCCCCCGTCTCCCTCTCTCTCTCTCTCTCTCCAGAACATTCCCTACCCTGCACGCCCCTCAGAGACAGAGAGGAAGGAAAACAGAGACACAGTGGGAGGCAGCCGGGGGGGAGAGAGAAAGATGTTGACTTTTAGTGTTCTTCAAAACGATACATCTCACTTGACAAAACAGCCACGGAGGATCCTATCTCCCCCGAACGCCACACAGAGACAGAAGGAGTTTCTCCTCTAGCCGGGGCCGCAACTTCGCCCCCATTAGCTTCAGATTGTTCGATGCCGATGCCGAAAAGTGCGAACGAGAAGTTCTTAGAGACACGGTTTTGGGGAACATTCGCTTCCTCGTCGAGAGTGAACCGAAAGGAGTGGTGCCTCCATCGTGTCTCGATAGTGGAAGAGGGTTTGCTTAGCTTCGCATTAAGACCGGAAGTGGGGAAACAGCTTGCCTGGCTCCAAAGTTTCCTCCACATAATCCTCCTTAAAACCGCAATTCATCGTGTTAACGCTTCAGTTTTTCTGCACACAGATGAAACAGACGTGTTAATTAGTGAGCTTTTAACGTTGTTGTTGTTGGTGGATTTCGCTGCTCCGCGGCTGAGCCAGACTCGCTGTTTCCTCTTGCTTCCAGTCTTAGCGGTCATGATGTAACGATAATCCTGCAGTTAACATCCTCTAAACTGTAGATTTCTATTTATCACTCAGATACGAGCGTGCTGTCTGTCTGTTTGTTATCCAGGCGATGTGCAGCTGCTGAATGCACAGCTGTGCTTCAAGCTGTCAGCGGCGACGGTGCGAACATGCTGATGAATAGCAGATTCTTTATTGTCAGCAGCTGAACGCATACATCCTCAATCAGAGCGACTGACAAGCCGAAGTTTTGACCTGATGGAGGTCATAGAGGAGAAGTTCTGGATCCCCCCCTGTTAGTCCTGAGGTGGATGATTGAACGTCGATCCATCCACATGTTGTTGAGACTCAAAACCTCAAGTGTTTATAAGTGGCCTCCGGGAACCGCGAAAGAACATCGAAACCAAATGTAACGCCCAACCCCGACAGGGAACACTAACATGACCAAACCAGCAACAGACTGATCAGTCGACAACTATACTGATTGTCGATTCATTAGTTTGAGTGTTTTTAAAGAAAAAAATTTCACTGATTCCATCTTCTTAAATGTGAATCTGAACGTCTTTGTGACAAAACAAGACATTCAAGGACTGTTTTTCTTTTATAGACTAATTCATAGAGAAAGCAATCAATAGAATAACTGACCAAGAAAACATCGCTGAGTTGAAAGTCCACTTCATGGTTTCCACGTCCATGTGTGAAGGCCGATACGACCTTTGCGACCCCGAACTCGGACAGCAGACACGCATTCATACGACAACAGATACGTCTGCTGTGGGGTGTTCCTGGAAAGCTAGCAGTGACCGGTAGACAGTCGCAGGTTGGGCTGTGCAAACTGTCTCATTTTCCTGAGGCGTGCCGAGCACAGTGGGCGGAAACAGCACGGGGTTGTTGTGATTATTAATTAGTGACTTCCTGCCGTGTTTGGGCGATGGAGAGCACGTAGGCTGCAAAATCAGAGCACGGGAGCTAGCGTAGCTACGACTGTTTTTAGCGATGAATTGTGAAGGTGTAGATGATGATGGCCTCTTCTCAAAGATAGGATTCCTGTTGTTTAACTGGTGCAGGCTGATGACGAAATCTGGATCCATACGGTGACGTAGCTGTGGTTAGCATGAGCTAGCCTTTAGCATGGCTGAAGGTAGCAATGAATGCTCACTGCTTGTCGAACAAAAACAAAACACAAGAAACAAATTGTACGAGTAACTTTTAGTACTTGTGCCTTTACAAATCAGCAGTCCTGTCAGCGTCGTGTGTTTTCACTTTATAATGACTCACTGACTAATTACTGCCGATGATTTATCGTCTGAGTATAAACTGTTTAGATACTCGAGCAGTGGTTTAGATAAACCGACAGGGAAAGAAAGAGGGGAACAGATAGAGTCCTCGAGGCCGAAAGCATCTTCAACAAAATGCAACACCAATCTTGTGTAACCAACTGAAGAACATCACGGTTGTTTCACGAGTTCGATACGCCACCGAAGCCGCATTGGACGACCTTGAGCCTTGTGTGTGTTTTTGTGTGTGTGTGTGTGTGTGTGTGTAGTTTGAGAGCGGTCCAAAAAACTGAGCCAAACAAGAAGAAAAGTGAAATCCTGTTCCCTCTGTGCAGCAATGGACCGAGCCTGTGAGGTGCATTCAAACTGAGCTTTTTAAAATGTTTGTGTGCTCCAGGAGGAGATGAACCGAGGGAAGCCCAACTGGGAGCACCTCAGCGAGGACCTGCACGTCCTGATCACGGTGGAGGACACGCACAACCGGGCCAAGATCAAACTCCAGCGGGCCATCAACGAGGTCAAGAAACTTCTCGTGCCCGCCGTGAGTATCGGTCCGGAATATTTCTCAGAATATTGTGTCGCGGAAGAAGCTGACTGGATGAGAGTTCACTCTGTTGGTATGCATGGAAGGGGGAAGGGGATTGTCAGCCCAAAAAGTGTGTGTGTGTCTTTTTTGTGTTGTGTGTGTGTGTGTGCGTCTCTGTGTGTATGAGAGAGTATGTGTAAGGGGTTAGGGTAATTAGGGAACACGCATAAAGGGGTTTCCATGGTAACCCCGGGTTGTTTGAAAGGCTGAGGGAATGAATGGAGAGTCTGTTCACTCGTTCTCCCCACTCCATCACTCCTTTCACTCGTTCACAACTCACTTCATTCCCAACTACTGGCTACAGTATTCTTTTTTCTCCCTGTTTTTTTTTTTTTTTTTTTGTCCACACAAGAGAACATTTTGATTGCGCTCCTCAACATTTCTCACATTCTCCAGCCCACCTAGCGCCCCCCTACAGGCACACATACGTACGTGAACCTGCACAAACATGACGACAAGTCAGAGAAACATCACGGCGTCGCACACACACACACACACTTTAAATTATCCCGTTTGTCATACAAGGACAAAAGCACATATTCTTGTATCCCGAGGCTCCTTCCTTCTTCATCTCTGCATTATTTCCAACAATAGAAACAGATTTAAAGGAGCAGCAGGGGGCGTTTCTACTGCAGCAATCAGCCGCCACTTCCCGTTCAGTCACAGCGTGGTGCGGGCCAACTCTCGGCATTAAACGGTGTAAGAAAGGTCTGTGGGCTGTCAGGAGCCGAACACCTGTTAATTTAGGTTTGTGCATACTTTTGTGTGTGCGGACGGTGAAGCCAGTGATATGTGTTGGTTTAACCCGGCTGACCTTCTTCTCAGAATGTAAATCAGTCGAGCTTTTCACCAAGTCGTAACCAGAGCTAAGAAGTTAGCATGTCTGACACCGAATCCGCCTCGTGTGGCGCCTCGGTCCGGTCAGCTCCGTTACAGACAACGTTTTGTGCCAGCAACACAATCTTTTTTCCCTGGAGAAAACATGCAAACTGAATCACAATGCGTTCCAGCCTACTGTAACATTTGTTGACTTTTTGACCAGAGTGTCACAAGAGTTCATTCATTGCGCTCGTCACTGGCCGAGCGACAGACAGTCGGTGCTAAGTAAGCTGATTGTGTTGTTCTGCTTGCATGCGTAGGCTGAGGGGGAAGACAACCTGAAGAAAATGCAGTTGATGGAGCTGGCCATTCTCAACGGGACCTACAGAGACGCCAATGTCAAGACGCGTAAGGATGACATCACAGTTAACATGTGGAGGAGGGTTGGTGGGTGACAGCGGAGGGGTCTCGGTACAGGAGTCCACTGTATATATGAACAATGCCTCTGTTTCTCCTGTTAAATAGACTGTTTGTCCTCTGCTCTCCTTCCCTGTCCTTTGTATGTGCGCTTTGTGTGCGCTCGCGTGTGGGTGTGCGCACACTTGCATTATTGTATGTTTGTGTGCAGCCACCGCCGCCTTCCCTCTAGCGACCCCTCAGGCGCCTCGGATCATCACAGGCCCGACGCCCGTCCTGCCCCCCACCCTGCGCAACCCCGCCCCCGTCACCACGCCCACCATCATGCCTCTGATCCGTCAGATCCAGAGCTCCACCCTCGTGCCGGGAGCCAACCCGCATCCGGCTCTGGTGCAGCAAGGGCCCGAGTCCGGAATCATCTACACGCCCTACGAGTACCCCTACACACTCACGCCCTCCATATTGGAATACCCGATTGACTCGACTGGAGTATTAGGTACATAAGAATGAGAAGTTCATCACTCTCATACATGGTCAATGGATGTATTAGGAGAACTGGATACCGGACTTCCAATGAAAGTTGCTCACCAAGCGTCCGCGCCGGAAAAAAAACTCTCTTCTATTTGTGTTTACGTGCTCATAAATTTAACACCACGCACAGAAGATAGCTCTGCTCGACTAAATAGTAAATCCTTATGGGCTAAAAATACGTCGCGCTAAAAGTCAAACGTCAATTAAGTTCCACGCTGGCATCGGCTCGGAGCTAAACCTGATCTACATCTGTGTTTTCAGACAGAAAGCAAATTAGCAAGCAAGCAAGCACACAAGACACATCTCCGATCAGCCTCTGACTAAACCTCAAGTTCACCGGAAACCTAAGAACGTCCTCCTGTCATGTAGAGCAGGTTACTTAAAGCTGTGTACTGTTTTTGCTCACGTTACATATTTTATTTGCATCCTTGGCTCAGTTTTAATTTGCTGCCATCTTTCCATTGATTTTGCGTCGCTCACATTCCGTCTGTCTGAACACGCTGTGGACTAAACTCTGTCTCTTGATTTATTTCACTCTTTTAATTGACAGACTTGGCAAACAAAGGTAGCGTGCAGCAGTTACACACAAAAGTAATTTACAGCATAATTTAATTTTGCACAATAAGATCTGAGAGACGTGATGGACAGAAGCTGGACTTTCTGCTGCTCAGTGTTTATCTACTAGTGCTCATAAAAACAGCAACACTTAAATAAAAAGTTTCTTCAGATTTGCTCACATGACTTTTCTAAAAGAGTTAATGCATTTCTTGGGGGGGGATGGAAACACCATTTCTGAGTATATTCTGACATAATTATCATTTATCCTCACATGACTGATCAGCTGTTTCCACTTCAAGAGACTGCAGACGGCAGAAACACCAGCTGACATGGAACACTAATTACAACTTACATCATCTGAGAATCCATTTTTCTGTAGTCGTTGGCCAAAGTGACAGATTTAGTGTCTTTCTTTGACTCGGTTTATTTGCGACCTCTGCTTCGTTACGGCCGCGTTAGCCTGCGTTTCTAACAGCACCGGGCAGAACGGGTTATTGACTGTGGAAGCGAGATTAATCTGGGTTTTTGCGACAGTTCGAGGTTTGCTTGAGGACACGACTACTGTCAGAGAGCAAACAGATACCCAAATCCGGCCTGAACTTAAAGCGCAACCAAAACCAGACAGGACCGACCCGTTTACCAGCGGGCCACATTGGCTGCCGTATCCAGCTCTCTAATACATCCACAGCATATGCAGATGAACGCTGAAGCTCATTGCTGGGCTAACAGTCCCTTCTCCCTGTGTTTTTGCAGGTATGGCTTTCCCAACCAAAGGCTAAGCGATAGCAACCCTTCCTAGCACACACACGGACTGGCTTGCAGAGACCCTCCCCTCCCCTCCCCTCTCCTCACATACTCTCCCACAGAGCAAACACTCAGCGTTTGCTTATACTTTAGGATGACAGATTCCTCGACAGTCATTCTGTAGTCAAGTGTCCATTCCTGTTAATTTTTTCCTCTTTGTATTAGCAGACTAGTGTTGTGGTGTGACAGCTATTTAACTTGTTTTAATAGTTCAGCTTCCGCTTGTAATTTTTTAACACATTTTAGTGAACCCGTAGATATTTTAGAGCTGCTGTTTGTGATTTAACAGATGTTACAGCTTACTTTGATCACAGAGCTATAGAGTGACTTTGCTTACGGCTGATGCTGAACCTACTAGTGAAGCTTAGTGAGAAATTAGTGGTTTGGATTAATATTTTTCTTTAGAGAACAGAAGACCACAAAACAACAAAAGTTCTGTCTCTTAGAAGCGAGATGTTGTTTTTTTTTTGTTTTTTTTTTTATTACTTATTTTCACCCTCAGCCTTGAACACTTTGTAAATTCCTGGTTTCACTGATGTTGGTGCCATGGGTGGACTGTCTGATGTCTTTCTGATGAGTAACCTTCTGTGTTCTGTTTTGGCGATGTCAATGGCTGTTAGCAGGTGCCATGACCACTAAGGTACGACGCCACGACAAGAGAATCCATCCTTACCAAAGGGTAGTGACCACAGACAGAGGTTAGTTAGCTCACCAGCCACTTTATGTGTATGTGTACGTTGGTGTGTGTGTGTGTGTGTGTGTGTGTGTGTGTGTGTTAGTGTGTGTGCATGCAGACCAATGGACCAATCTCAGTTTACATGTGTCTGTAATACGGCATGCCTAAAAAAAAAAAAAAGAAGAAGAAGAAATAACTGTATCAGGCGAAAAGGTCACTCGCTGAAGCGGCGTCAGTGTAAAATGTGAAAACAGTATTTGTTGCGGTGGAAGTGAAATAAGTGAGCGGGTTGGGAGGAACCACGTTAGGGGTGACGGCTGCAGCGGTTGTCTTTGCTCGCCTGTTAACTTAAACTGGACGGCTGGCAGGCCGGGACCCTCTCAATTAGAATGGATCGCTCCGTTCATGTGACTCGGTCCTCGTGACTCCGGATTTGGAGTCCTCTCTCAGAAACTTTTTTTTTTTTT